CGGGGCTACCATCTCGATGATCTGGTTGCAGAACTCCTGCAAGATGACAATGACCCTGGAGGGCGTGTTGTAGTGCTTGGAGGTGGCCCAGATGAAGCCGATGGTGTACAGCACCTTGGCGATGAAGGTCGGGAGCTGCGGGGACATGGTGGGCGCCCTCTGTCGCGAGGTCTCAGCTCCCTCAGCCCCAAGGCTCCAGGAGGAGACCCCAGTGTGGAGGGAGAGGCGCCTGGTCACCGCCAGCTCCTGCTCCCTAGGACTCGAGCCCCCCCGCGCCCCCCGCCAAGCGGCCTTTCTCCCACGAACATACGCTGGTGAAGTCCGCCTGCTCCATCTCCTCCAGCAGGACCCGCAGAGGCTTCAGGTGCAGGACAATGTCATTGGCTTCCTTCAGCCCTGCCGGAACAAGGTCAAGGTCAAGGTCAAGTGCGTGTCCGCAGGGAGCCAACACACCGGGCCGCCTCCACTGGGCAGGGTGTCAGGGAGACCTGCTCCCTCAAAACACAGGCGCTGCCTTAGAAGGTGGGGCCAGGAAGTCGCTCATGGGGGAGCTGGCCCACCCCCCGGGGTTGGTGACCTGCCCCAGGCCCTCCCAGGAGGCACCGGCAGCTTCCTCGGGGCTCCCCGCCCCCACCTTCAGTGACATTCAGGTACACGGTCTGCAGGGCCGGCCAGTAGCAGCTTTTGGCTTTTTCCAGGATCTCGACTATTTTGTTTACTTTGGGCCTGTTTAGCTGAGAAGGGGGACAGAAAGAAACAGGATTTTCAGTAGAAACCCGCAGACCCCGCACCTGTGGCCTGATCCTGCAGCAGGGGGGGGAGCTGAGGCACGAACTTGGGAGAGCAGGGTCCCCCCAGGGCTCCCGGGGGCCCCGCACAGAGAGGTCGAGGGCTCGTGAATTCGCCTGGTGCCCGGTGGGCACGTGGGCCGTCTGGCCGCCCAGCAGCTGGGCGCCCGGTCGCCACGGTGGGCGGCAGGTGTCACCTGGTCGTGGATGCACTGCAGGTTCATCAGCCGGGCGTCCCAGAACTCAAACTCGACCCGGGGCAGCGGGTGCAGCCCATCCAGCAGCACCTGGGCCGAGTCTTTGCTTAGCACGTCCCTGATCTGGTGCGACCAGTCGATGATTATGGTCTCGATGGCATGCAGCAGCGAGTTGTCCAGGGCGGACGGCAGCCTGCAAGGCGGGGGGGGGGCGATACTTCCGGCCCCCGGGACGGGTTCCAGCAGCCCTGCCCCCACCCCCGAGGCCTCCAGCCGGCAGGCCCTGGACACCCACCAGCAGCCCCGCGTCTCCTCGCCCCATGTCCCCGGGCCCCTCCTCACAGCCACCCGGGGAGGCTGGAGGATCCCCCAAATCTCCCCGCCGAGGAGAGACCCTGAGCACACGGTGGGCGCAGTTAGAGATGCCGGCTCCCCCACCCCCCGAAAGGGAATATAATGTCCAGGATGGGCCCTCTTGGCAGCTCTGGGGTCCCACGGGGCACATACTGGGGCTCGGTGGCCCGCGGAGGAACGGCCCACGCGGTGAGTCCCCGAGCAGCCGCCCTCTGACGCGAGCCAATGGAACAGGCCACCACCCCGCACGGCGCCCAGAGCCTCGCGCCACGGGCACTGCCGTGGTGGCCGGTCGTGTGCGTGTGGGGGTCCCCGGGACGTCACAGCCCCACCTGCTGAAAAGGAAAGTCCCTTCCACGCCCCTCGGTGCCCCGAGTACCCACGTCCTACAGCGGGCGTCCCCTTTCCCGGCTGGGTGGCGCGGGACAGTGACATCCGGTGCGTGCCGTGTGACGCCTGGACGGGTCCCCGTGCGTGGTGGGGGGCCTCAGTGCCCCGCCCCATCCCGCCCTTGCGCCTTCAGCCCCCGCCTGGTCCTTGCCGTCCCCGGGCGGGCCCCTACCTCTCCATGGACTCCAGCGTGCCGTCCAGGCTCCCCAGGTGCTCGGGGATGGGCAGCAGGGTCTTGCCCCTGACCTTGCCGCCCATCACGAACATCTCATTCTTGAGCTTGTGCACCTGCCTCACCAGGTCTTCCGCGACCACGTGGGGCCACCCGACGATGTTCTCAGCCTGGTTTAACAGGGAGTAGAGGACCTGGAAGGAAAGGGTTGGTCCGCGTCCCGCCGGTGCCTTCCCCGGGCCCGAGGCGCCGGGAGGGGCGGCGAGCCCGCCTGCGGGGCCCGGAGCCTGGGGAAACCGAGTCCCGTCCTGTGCCGGGGCGGGGCCGGCGTTTAGACCAAGGACCACGGCCCAGCTCCCCGTGTCTCTAGTGCGGAGCCAGCTCCTCGGAGGAAGACTCGGCTCCTGCAACAACTTTCTGAGCTGCCAGGAGTGCCGTTCTGGGCTAGATCGCGTCCCCCAAACCCATATGCTGAAGTCCCAACCCCCAGCACCCCCGGATGTGACTGTGTTTGGAGAAAAGGTCTCTAAAGATGTGATTAGGTTGCAATGAGGTCACAAGGGTGGGCTCCGATCCCATATGACTGGTCCGCAGGAGGAGAGGCGATCGGGACACAGACACACACGGGGGGACAGCTGTGGGAGGACGGGGGGGACGCTGGCTGTGAGCCACGGAGAGAAGCCCCCGCCGACGCCTGGACCCAGGGACTGTGGCGGCCGAGCAGGTGAATACAGATGCCCGGGGGCTTCAGTTTGGGCGGCCGGGCGCCTCATTCAGATGCGAGGGAAGCTGGCCGGGGTCTGGAGCCCCACAGGGCGGGGGTGCGAGCCCCCATTTCACAGACCCGGACGGCGATGACTAGAAAAGCTACGTCACTCGTAGCGCGGGCGGTCTGACTGCCCGCGTGGGCCGCACCGCGGTGCCTGAGAGCCACGCGGGGAGCGGACAGGACAGCGCGGGGACCCGTCAAACAGCACCGTTTCCCCCTTTCTTCACTCGATGCCTCGGAACCGGGGAAACTCACCGACCGGCACCCGCTCGGCCCCCTCCTGCGGCCGTAGGAACGGACTCTACCCAGCACGTAGGTGCAGGGGTTCTAATGGTATCGAGAGACCAAGGCGAGTCCGGCCCGCGTGGCTCAGGGGTTGAGCGTCGACCTATGAACCAGGAGCCACGCACGGTTGGGTTCCCGGGCGGGGCGCCTGCCCGGGTTGCGGCTCCGTCCCCAGTGGGGGGCGTGCAGGAGGCAGCCGACCAGTGACCCTCATCATTGATGTTTCCGTCTCTCTCTCGCTCCCTCTCCCTCCCTCTCTCTGAAATCAATAAAATAACATCTTTTTTAAAAAGAGAGGGCGATACCCTGGCCAGTTTGGCTCAGCGGTTAGAGCATCGACCAGTGCCCTGAAGGGTCCCGGGTTCGATTCCGGCCAAGGGCACGCAGCTCAGTCCTTGGCCCCGAGTCGGGGCCTGTGCAGGAGGCAACCCGTCGATGTGTGTCTCACGCCGATGTTTCTCTCTCTCCCTCTCCCCCCCCTCCACTCTCTCTGAAAAGCAATGGCGAAAAATCTCCTCGGGTTTGGGTTATAAAAAAAAGAGGGGTGGCGGGGCGAGGACAAGGTGAGGGCCGGGCCTCTGGGCCTTCGGGTGCCCAGCAGCACCTGGGGTCTGGCTGGAGTGCAGGTCTGTCTCAGCCACCGGGGGACAGGGCCCGACCGCCCACGTTCTAACCAGCTCCCAGGCCACGCCGGCGGCCCGAGCACCACCCTGTGGGCAGCGGGGCTCTAGGCCAATCGCTGAGGGCACAAGGACCCGAGGCCGCTCCCCCCGAGCCCTCGGCCCCCGCCCAGGGCCGCCGCCCCGAGGCACCCACCTCCTCCACCACCGCGATCAGCTGGTCCACAGGCGTGGGGCTGATGTCCCCGTAGAGCAGGTTCTCCTTGTAGTTTTCCTTGGTGATGGCCACGGGCTTCTTCTTGATGAAATAAGCCCCCTTGGACTTGAGGGACGCGGGGAAGCCCAGGCAGGGCAGGATCATGCCGGCCTGGTTGAGCGTCAGCACCAGCACCGAGACGTCTGTCTTGTCGAAGAACTCCAGGAAGAGCGCCAGGTGGTCCTCCGCCCCCATCAGCTTGCCCCACTTGTCTGCCTTGAACTTGAGGATGACAGAAGCCACTTGCTCCAAATACTCGAACCTGACGTCCAGGGTTTTCGCCATCCTGACGATTTCTCACACCGCAGTCATCTGTCAAAGGGACAGACGCACGGATGGACATGCGTCCGGGGCTGTGCACCGCCGGCCCCACCAATCGTGGGAACCCTTCGAAGCCCTGCTCTAACCCAGCGGGGACCAAAGGGTTCACAGTGAACGTTTCCGGGGGGGGCTGGGGCCGGGGGTTCCCCTTTTCCAGGTGTGGGAATGGGACGCTGGGGAGTTGGCAACGCCTCTGGAATTTAAGGAAGCCTTTTGCGGTTTCTGATTTCACAGATCTGGGTTTTTACAAAATCAACTTTTTGTCTAAAAATGGCATCAGAAAGGGGTCCCTCCAGAGTCACACTGTAGATGGCTTGAGAGGCCCTGCTGTCCCCCCAAATCTCTCCCAACCAGCCGGTCTTATCTCAAACTCCCATCTGGCCGTGTTTGGGGTGAAGGTGAGGGGGTCCCAGTTAACAGTCCTGTCTCATGTGAGGCCTCTGGAGGGGCACAGGGGCAGCTTCTCGGGAGGTGGCTCTACGCTGGGCCCTCAGGACCAGTCAGGAGAAGCCTGGGTTGGGGCTTCGGAGAGAAGGGGGGGCGGAGGCAGGCGGGGGCGGGGGACAGGGGAGACCCGCGTCCAGGAAGGGGCCGGGCTCAGACCCCTCACCGGCTCCAAGCGGGAGCAGAGCCACTTGAGGGTGGGTGACGGGTCCCCTGCCCGCCAGGGCCTGGGTGCCACCCCCGCCTCAGCCGAGGGCCACTCACCAGCCGGGGCACACGCGGCCGCAGGGCCGGCAGGGGAACTGACGGGCAGCTCCTCCCGGGCCAGTGAAGGAAATGGCTCCCTCCCCTCGAACGGCTCCAACTGCCACAGAACACCTGCGGGCCCCTCGGCACCTGGGCTTCTAGAACCTTCTCCGCCGGCCCGAGCGGCCGGGCGGCAGAGCAAGGGGCGGCCCTCCGCCGCCGGCCACAGCGGGAGGGCCCCGGACGGTGACGCCGCTCAGCTCGGTCCCTGAGCTGGAGCCTCAGGCCGCTCGGCGGAGTCACTCACCTACTGGGACTGAAGTCTGCAGACTCGCTAAGCGCCCGCCAGCCGTCCTGCCTCTTCTGGACGCGGTCATTTTTATGATTTCGCCCCCCCGCCCCCCGCGGTCTTGGCTACAACGCCTCGTCTGCTTTTCCCGCAGAGGTGAGTGGACAGCGTAACGCGTGTGACCTGTCCCAGCTTCCCAGCCAGTCGCACCTGAGGCCCCGCCAAGCAAAGGACACAGAGAAGGACCCACGCTGTCTGTCTGTCTGTCTTTCTTTTTAAATTCTCACCTGAGGATATTGTTCCCATTGCTTTTTCAGAGACGGTGGAAGGGAGAGAGAAACATCCATGCGTGAGAGACATCGATGGGTTGCCTCCCGCATGTGCCCCGACTGGGGCCGGGGATCGAGCCCTTGGCCAGAGTCAAACCCGGACGCTTCGGGCCGCAGGCCGGCGCTCTAACCACTGAGCCAAACCGGCCAGGGTGGGGCCCACGTTTTCTAGGTGGCCCAGCAACCTTTCCACGTGAATCCACGGTCCGCGCTGCAGCGGACACGGCGAGCCCTTCGAAAGGGCCAGGGGACGCGTCCTGAACTGCGTTCGGGGCCGAGCTGGCCGCCATGGCCCCACCGGGTGGGCCGCCCGCCGAGGCATCGCTCACGCCCTCGGCTCGGGCAGGCACAGCCCCTCCCGCTCATCTCCGCTCCCGGTCCCCTGGGAGCGCTTCCTCCTGCCGGCAAGTTTCAGGGCAGACGCGGCCCATCGTTAACCGCAATTTCCCCGCCGGGAATGCTCGGCGACAGCGGGAGCCGGGCTACCTGGGTCTCGTCACGCCCCCGCGCACGCCTCCCCAGGCTGAGTCCCACAGCGGACCAAGGGCAGAGGCCTTGTCCCCTGCACGGGCATGTCCTTGCCCTTGGCACTGGCTCTCGGTTCTCAAAGGTGGCAGCATGGCCAGAGAGATGTCCCCGACTCACTAGATTCCCAGAGGTCACTGCAAGGGTGGACACCGTGGAGGCCCAGGGACCCTTCCTCATTCGGGGTCTCCGCATAGCAAGCCCTGGGGAGAGGCCCCCACAAGGCACAGAAATCGGTGGCTTCCGAGCCACCCAGGCTGGGACACGGCGGGACAATGTGAGGACTTCACAGAAAGGCCCGCCCCCACAGTGGGAAGTGGGGGACCCACCCCAGAGGGTCAGGGGCTGAAGTCCAGGTTCTCAAAGCCCCCTTTGGGTCCACGTGAGGGAGCCCCTGGTCCGGGAGGGGTCAGGGCCCCTCTGAGGTGAGTCTTGCTGCCCTCGGCCCATCCAGGTGGAACAGTGGGTAACGAAACAGGTGAGACGTGGTCCACAGGCAGGGGGCGCAAAGCAGAGCCGTGTCCGGGGGGCTCAGAGCAAAGCCTGGTGGCCGGGGCCCTTCCCGAGGACTGTCCCCTGAGGGACGGATTGTGGCCACCCCTGGGGTTCTTGCAGGAGTCGGTCCCAGGTAGGGGTGGGGTGGGAGGCCGTCTCCTTGCCCAGCTCCTGACCATCCTTTCCCACCCTGCTCACCACACCCCCCGCCCCGGCACCCTCTCTACTTGGGGTGGGGGGTGCTCAAGGCCGGCTGGGCTTTAAGGCTTCCGTGTGCGAGGGCTTCCAAAATATTACAGCTCACCTCCTACCTGGAAATAACACACATTTCTTCCTTGAAAGGACAAGGACTCCTTTTCTTTGGACTATTAAAAAAATCAAACTGTGTCACAGAACAATCTCTTCACCGACTTCGTTTATAATAAATATCTCATCCTGGGAAATGTCTCCAGATGAAAACCAGGAGCTCCAAGGGGGAGCTACGCACTGAGGCAGCGGGCGGCTGCAAGGCGGGGCTTCTCCCGCTTAAACAGTGGCAGCGTCATGTGTGGCCCACTCCGCGTGGACTGACCCTGTGGCCTGACCCCGTGGCCTGACGCCGTGGCCTGGCCACGCTCAAGTTCAACTCTGAAGTTCAGGGAGGAACAGACAGACCCAGGGCCGGGGGCTGGGCCTCGGCTGGAGGGGCTTCTCTGCTTTGTTTGGAAAATGAAATGCGCTTTGAATGTAATGAGTCAGGAAGGAGGAATTTGAACGAAGTCTGGAAATGAGATTTCCTGCCTGTGGTTTGACTCAGCCGGTCTGTCTCCAAATCTCCCCCAAGGACATTCATTCCCCGGTGACAGGGCTGCCTCTGCATCCCGCAGACTCCTCGAGGGGGGTGGGGAAAAATCACTCGGGGGCTGTGTTGATGCAGAGCCCTTTCCTGGTGCCCTGGGAGGACTGGGGCATCTGACGCCCAAGACATGTCCCCTTCAGTGTGGCCTTCGTCCCTGAAGGCTTCTTAGTGCAGAAGGAACTTGAATGTCAGCAGGCCTGTGCCCTGTGTCTCTCCAGGAGTGGCAGCTGTCCCCGCGTGTGCAGGACCCAGGGACTGCCCAGGAGTCCTGGACACGCCTGCACTGGATGGTCGCAGCGCTGTGCTAACTGGTGCAGGAGAGAAGGGCCGGCCACAGCCACACACTGTCCGATGTCATTTATATGAAGTGTCCAGAGTAGGCAACTGCATAGAGACGGAGAGCAGACTGGTGGCTGCCCCAGGGCCAGGGGTGGGGGGAGAGCAACTGCCAATGGGAACAGGACTTTCTTTGGGTGACCAGGCCCCTGAGTCCTTTCGGCAGCGTTCCCACCCCCCGCCCAGGCTGTGAGCCCCCCGCCCTGCATGGCCATGCCCAGTGGGTCTCTTTCAGGATCCTCTGCCCAGGGACTGACGACAGGACATTCCCTTTGGCAAGGGCATGGCCCTGTGGGGGTGATCGGGCCTCATCACCCCTGACTCACAGGCCTGCAGGTTAGATGGTTTCCTGAGAGGGAAACAGCCCCATCCGTGCCGGGAATGCCGAGGCGGACGTTTCGAGAACACCGTTTTCTGAAACGCAAACCCGCCAGCCACCGCCTCCCTCCTGGGTCTTCTAGGGTTTTCACAGCGGGCATCTGACAGGCGGCCACACGGCCTCCCCTCGGGGTCCCAAGGGCCAGCAAACTGCTTATGTAAAGAACCAGAGAGTAAAGAGTCTAGGCTTGGGGAGCCACATGGTCTCTGCGACAGCTTCTCAGCTCTGCCACCATCGTTCTGAAGCAGCCACGGGCAGTGCGTGGATGGTGGCCGTGGCCATATTGGGCCTGTGGGCCTCGTTGCTGACCCCTGGCCTGGGAAAGGAGAGCAAACATTACCCAGCTTCATTTTCCTTTCTTTGTGAGTTCAAGAACCTTCCAGAACGGGCACCTGGGAGAAGCCCTGCTTCCTTCCTTTGCCGGCGGACTTCCCCAGTGAACTGCTTGAGGGGCCCCCGAGTACAGGTTCTTACCTGTGAGCGATATTCATGCTCTATAGTGCTGACACCCCTCCTTTCTAACCCGTGTTCTTGCCTCACTGCTGCGGCGAGCCGAGCCGA